TCTAAACAGGAATGTGAAAATAGTAATTGCCGAGAGGGCACTGAGGTTAGTCGGGGTTGAGTAAACCCCACTTTATTACAACCACGTCTATATAAACACATGGTTTCCTTAACATGTTTCTTCCTACCATTATTAATTAATGAGATTTAAGCATAGTGTTATAGACATTAGCTCTTTTAATAAATTCATAGATGGAATGGATTTCTCTGATTTTAAATTTGTTTTCAATGTATAACATAATGGTGATACCTATCTTTTGATAGATATGATAGTCTTATGTGTCAACTTGGTTAAGATATGGTAGCCAGTTGTTTAGTCAAACGCTAATTAAGGTATTCCTGTGAAGGTATTTTGAAGATATAGTTAATATCTACAATTGGATAATTTTACATAAATGAGATTATCCTCAAAAATGTGCGTGGGCCTCATCCAATCAGTTGAAGGCCTTAATAAAAACTGCCCCCCCAAAGGAATTCTTTTCTTTTCTTTTTTTTTTTAAGATTGTATTAATTTATTTGACAGGCAGAGATGACAAGTAGGCAGAGAGGCAGGCAGAGAGAGGAAGGGAAGCAGACTCCCTGCTGAGCAGACAGCCCAATGCAGGGCTCGATCCCAGGACCCTGGGATCATGACCTGAGCCTAAGGCAGAGTCTTTAATCCACTGAGCCACCCAGGTGCCCCAGAGAAGGAATTCTGACTCAATACTGAAAGGATATAACATCCTTCCTGAGTTTCCACCCTACCAGCTTGCCCTACAAGTTTCTGATTTGCCAGTGTCTGCCACTGCATGAATCAATTCTTTAAAACAAATTTATCTATATATCTACATTTATATATCTTATTCTGTTTCTCCTGAGGACCCTTATTGATACAGTAGTTATGAATCACAATGACATTTTCTACAGGTCATTAACATTGACTAAGCATTATCCTTAATAGCTCCTTTGGATATACTATTATAAACTTACTTATTTTATTTTTTTTTTAGAGAGAGAGAGAGAGCATGCGAGTGGCAGGGGACCACTTAATTTTTTTTTTTTTTAAACCACCAATAAACAAGGATTTATTTGGAAATTTCCAAACCTGCCAGAAGTGGCACTTGTCAAGCCCTGGGCTCCACCCTTCTACCAAGCTCTGAAGGGCAGCAACAGTCCTTCCCACCTGCCCCCTCATGTCCCCCTGCCCTCCACCAAGCACGCACACCCATACCTCAGGCCATGCCCGAGAACCGGAGCCCCCTCCAAGGCGGCTCTACCACCCTGGGCTCAAGAGGTGGGCTGGCAGGCCTCTGGCGTCCGAGGAGATGATGGCGGCCAGAGCTGCTTGCACAGATTGAGGAAAAACAGAAGGAAGCACCAAACAGGGCTCCCTGAAAACCCCAACTTACCCCTGTACAAAAAAAGTGGCTCCCACATAGAAAAACCTGCTTCCCACATAGTGCAAATACCCAAAGAAAAGGAAAAACCAGCAGCAAGGCTGGGCTGGTAGGAATGGCAAAGAACTTTGGTTTAGAAAGGCCAGGAAGAGTGTGAGCTGTGCTCCTCTCCCTCCATGGAGCATTAAGCAGGCTCCATGCTATCATGGGGCTCAATCTCACAACCCTGAGATCATGACCTGAGCTGAAATTAAGAGTTGGATACTTCACTTAACTAATGGAGCCACCCAAGTGCCCCATTAAAATGTAGTCATAATGCATAGCATACATAAAATTCAATTAAATTAACGTGTGTATTTATCAGTGAGTGTAAAGTACTGGGCTTCATGCTGGCTTAAAACATATGTATTATAAGTTATATTTTTATCATATTATTACAAATATTAAATATAATTTATAATCTAATTTAAATGTAACTTATAACACTTACATATATAAATTTAGATACTTATATATTTAATTAAGTCATAATCCCTGTCCTTGGTGGGGAAAAGATCTACATGCAACAACTGAGTCGGATCAAATTAGTGTTTTGATAGAGGTATTCATGTACGACAATTCAGAAACCAGATGTAATGACTCTATGACCAGAGTACAGCACATCCGGGAGAATGTGGAGGGAAATGACGTTGGATGGGTGGTGGTAGTTGGATATTAAAAGTTCTTAAATACCAAACTAAAGTGTTTGAACCGAAATCTGTGACAGGGCATCAGTGGATGTTGAGTGGGATTTTTACATCTTCTGATATGCTGTTCCCCAGACAACTCTATGAAAGGAAAACCAGTCAGACAGGAAATTAGACGCAGGGGGTTGGAAAACCTCAAAATAGCAGAGAAAACTTTCAAGTTTCCCAAACATGCTTGTTTCCCAAACAAACCCAAAAGCTTTGGGTCTTTGACTCACAGTATTGTTATCTCAATATTATCTTAAAAGTCAATAGTCTTATCACATAGATCTTATCACATAGATTCCAGTTCTAAAATGAGCATAATTATTATTCTATTTTAATAAAGATTTTTATTTATTTATTTGAGAGAGAAACGGGTGAGAGAGAGAGAGAGAGAGCACATGCACATGAGTGGGGAGAAGGGACAGAAGGAGAGAGACATGCAGGCTCCCTGCTGAGCAAGAAGCCCGATGTGGGGCTCGATCTCAGGACCCTGGGATCATGACCTGAGCCTAAGGCAAACGCTTAACCAACTGAGCCACCCAGGCGGTTGCTTATTATTATTATTATTCTTAAAAAGAAGAAGAAGAAGCATTCTTTGAAACATTTATAGAAAACTATTATAAATAACTAAACATTTATCAATATAGAAAACACACTTTTTAAGAAGAAAAAAATCAAACAAATAAAAAAGCAAGGCAATACATTTGTTTTTGACTTTATAAAAATATTTTTCAATGACCACTATCTTAACATATACAGAATTCATTTATTAGATATTTGTTAAGTACTTACCTCCTATATGATGAGCAGGGTGAAACACTAATAAAATGCATTTAAAAGTAACAAAATGGTCAAGGAGTTTTATTTAAACAGGGGTCATACATACTATACTTCTCATGATTTAGAAAAAAACAGTAGCTTGTCTTTTAATTGATAAATATTTTGGATGGTAATTTTGGGTCAGGAAAAAATCACCTGTCTTAATAAAAAGATTAAAAAATAAAGTAAACGTTATTCTCAAAGATAAAGTAAAAGAGAAAAGCATTTCTTATAAAGCTTCATAATAAGAGTAGATACATGGAACTTCAGATCACATTGGAAGGAAAGATGATTCCCCAAAAGCCATATCTTATGTGTTTCTTATTTTCTCTTATTAAAAAATAACAATGAAGAATTATTAGATTACAGATTATTGTCAGAGTCTGACAATTAGCTGTAAACTACCCTTATATCTGAGAATTTTTTTTAAAATGCTGGACAAAACATGAAAAACGGTAATCAGACAATGTTGAGCCTATAGTTTTAGATGGTATATAGAAATGCACCTAGAAATTTTACATCTTGAAGTTTAACTTTAACAGTAGAGATATCCAGGGTAAAAGATATAAAATTAACCAGTAAGCACTCATGAAAATATTTATAATAACCAGCATGAGTTTGCACAAAATAAGTCCTATCATTTTTCCTCTGTCTTTTTATAAAAGACAGTGATTTGTATGGTAGTGTGTGAGAGAAAATGAGAGTCAACTATATTTTGTGATATTATTATTTTTTAATATTGCTTCATTTGACAACCCTCAAAAAACTAGGAAATAGAATACAAATAAGACTATTTATATAGGCTAATACAATTAGCTAGGATATGGTTTTCAAATTATAGGTAATGACCCATTAGTGGATTTTGAAATCAATTTTGTGGGTCAAGACCTGTATTAAGAAAAAAAAAAAAGTAACAGAAAAGAATAGGACAACATAGAAATGAAGAGGAAATAAAGATAAGCATAGTTTTACTTCATAAATAATCTTTTTTTAAAGTTGTTTGTGTCCAGAAATGAGACATGAAATTCCTAACTTAAAACAGACTGTCAGTGAAAATGTTTCAACAACCCGAGCCATAGGGTCACACTGAGAGAATGGTCATCACTGTATCACTGTCAACCTGAGATGGACTTCCATGGAAGAGTTCAACTGGAGTCAGCTCTGGGTACAGGGGTATTTTAGTATAGTGTCTATGTCCCAGATAATGGAAAGTAGAACACATTTAAATCACTCGTGATGTCCAATATGGAGATGATATAGTACCAGAAACCTTTAAACCGAGAACTGAGGTTTCTTATCTCCTTTAGGCACTGATCAACTTATCCAAATGCAGTATACTTTCAAGTTCTGACTACATATTGGGAAGGATAATACAAAAGCTACACATTTTTCATTTTCTAAACATAAGGCAGTGTTTCAAAGGATCTGCAACTGGGTCAAACTTTTTAGGGATTTTAAAAGTGGTGTCTAATTTACTTATTTATACAGTAGTGAAAAAAAAGATAAGCAAATGTGTACAGATTATTACATTTAAAAACTCTTTCTAGAACATGTTAACTGGAGTCATAAGCAATTATATTCTGATCTCAATACTATGTACTATATACAGGTAGAGCTCTGGGAATTTTTAAAATTAGCTATTATATTAATTTCAGAGAGGTTAAAATAATGTGCCCTATATATCACTAAAAGGCTTTAGTTGTCTTCGTAGGTCTCTTATTACTTCCAAGCTACTATGGAATGTGATATTAGATTGAAAGATTCACACTGTTGAGATGATAATCGATCTTGTTATTGCTCTCATGGCTGTCTTTTCAAAGAATAAAACTCTTCTTGGTTGAACAAATACAGAACCTGATATAACTCAGTGTATATTTTTCAATTGAGATTTTGATGTCAAGTTCTTAGCAATGTGAGCTCAGTGGCGACTCTTTCTACCGTTATCTTTTCCCTCACTTTCTTGGAGGTAAATGAGAAGAAAACACCTTTGATTTGTGGAGTTATGGTAACAATACTACTGTAATTTCATTGCAGTCTGGTACACTGGCATATATCCCTTGTCTACTTCTACTTACCTTGCTACATGATTAATTACAGGAGCAAAGTTGGTTGGCCCATACAGTTGTACAGATTTCAGACTCCGGTAATAAGCCTCCATGACCCCCTCAATGCCATCACAGTAGGGGTTTTGAGGGTTCCCATTCTGTAGAATTGACAGGCAAAAAAGGAGTAAAAATTAGTAGTGTCTGTGAAGATCAACTGAAAAAGAGGAAAGATAGGTTGACACTCAAAGACGTTTTGGAAGAATGGTCACTTACATAAGAGTAAAAAATAATAAATTACATGGTCAACAATAGATGACAATGTATTATAAAAATTGTGATATGATGAATCTAATATATAAGCATTAAAAATTGATACCCTCCAGAAGAAGAACCACAGAATACTCTAAATAATCTTGAGAAGCTGAATATCACAACATTCTATAATTAATGTGTTCATTACACACGTCTATGTACGTGTAGAGATGAATGTATAAAAACCCCGATAAGAAGCAAATAAAATATTAACAGTGGTTAAATCAGGATGGCTCCATATAACTGGTGACTTTCATTTCATGTTTTAAACTGTTCAATATTTCCCAAGTTTTCTGTAGTGACATCTATTAAAATCAAGAAAAAAAAAATCACTATCCATTCAGTTCTAAATTATAGATGGAAAAATAGAAAATATCTGCCACATGCATATTTTCGGGTCACACTGATAACCCCAAGGAGAGAAGGGGTCTGAGGGAATGTAATTTGGTGTGGAAATTATCAAGACAAGGTAAAAGGAAAAGAATCAAAGAAACATTCATGTTGTCCAAGGCAAATGGAGCTTGCCACTAAGTTCTCTTTCTGGAGATGGCACACTGAAGGGCAACTGCATACTTGGAAACCTGGACTAGCTTTTTCATACCTCGTATGCTTTATTATTATTAGGTTCAATTCTCCTAGTCCAGATTTTGCAAATTATACAAATAAGGTAGTAATTAGTTATCTATTACTTTGTAGCAAATTACCGCTAAAGTCAGTGGCTTAAAACAATAATTATCTATTATCTCAAACATTTTTTGGTGTCAGCAGCGGATTAGGAGTTGGTTCTCGAAGCATTTCTCATGAGTTTGCAGTCAGTATGCCAACCTGGGCATCTCAGAGCTTGATCAGAGTTGCAGGATCTGCTTCCAGGAAGGTTCACTTATATGGCTGCTAGCAGGAGGTCAACGTGGTCTCTCTAGAGGGCTGCCAGATTGTTCTTACGACCTGGCAGCTAATGTCCCCAGAATGAATAATCCAAGAAAAACAGCAAAAAAGGAAGCCCCAACAGCTTTTATAAGCTAATCCCATAAGATGCATACCAATACTCCTACTTTAATCTCTTTGCTAGAAAGTTATCACTAAGTACAGGCCATGCTCAAGGGAAAGGGAATTAGACTTGACCTCTGAAAGGGAGGAAGGATAAAAAAAAATGTGGATATATTTAAAATACAATAATTTCAGCATGCATGTTTTTATCTGAACAAACGTAAGTGACCGGTAATTTGTAAATAAAATTTGTTGAATTCTATATACTAAGCTGTATGTTAAAATATTTATATATATTAGGCATTTTCTATGACAACCCTAAAAAACGTAGATAAAATATTGTCATTATTCCCACTTTACAAATGAAAAAATTAAGGCACTGAGAGTTTAGTGTGCCCCAAAATTACGTAATACAAATGAGAGGGCCAGTATTTGAACTCATAAAGTCTAAAATTTCAGAGCCTAATCTCTTTTTTAAAAAAATATTTTATTTATTTATTTAAGAGAAAGAGAGATCAAAAGCACAACTGGGGGGAGGCAGAGGAAGAGAGAAAGGGAGAAGCAGACCCTGCACTGAGCAGGAAGTTCAATGTGGGTCGATCTCAGGCCCCTGGGGATCATGACCTGAGCTGAAGGTAGACGCTTAACCAACTGAGCCATCCAAGCACCCCCAAGAGCCTAATCTCTTAACACCATTATGCCACCATGTTTTGAAATCCTAAGCATTTTGAAAGACAAGAAATCTCAGGAAACCAAGGCAGATATTATCAACCACTTCAATTTTGCCATTTGTGTGAGAAGGATATACACCCACTTTTTCCTTTTAATTTTGTCTTTCATTCAATTTTTTAAAAATTAACTGACCATCATGTAAATTTTTAAAAACATAAAAATAATAAAAAACCTCTTATAATATATAATAATAAAGATATTCGTATAGTTTTATATTATAAAATTGGTTACATTGATTGAAATTATAATTTAAAAGTTCAATATTTAGCACAAAGCAGTTACTGATTGCTTTTGATGTTAATCTGAGCTGACCTATCTAACTTTCCTTTAAATAAAATTTTACAGTATTCCTTTCCCTTGATAAGCTATGAAGCTAGTTAAAATTAACACTCATTATTGATTTTGAGCAAGTAAAAATGTATTCTATATATGCCTTAGGGGAAGAAATACAAACCAGGATGGTTCTGAGCTACTTTTTCATCACCATTTTAACTAAGGGTTTTTATTTCTAGAAAATAATATATTTTCTCTATTCCTATGGAACTGAAATTACAATAAGGTCACCATTTTTCTCACCATTTCATTTCTTAGTGGAAAGATTGTCATTGGATGCTCTATTCATCATTACGGAATATTTAAAGCACTGATTTCTGCATTAGTCCTCATTCCATAATAAATTGCTCTACGAATTCCTCATATGCTTTGGATGATAAGAACATATGACGTAGAATTACACATTCTTTTTAATTTATACTTTGCATTATATCAGGATTATTTAAAATAATTTATAGCCATTAAAATGAGGCTTTCCTCTTAATGACAAAGTTGTACTGAGTTATAAAAAGATTTTTTCAGGTCTGTTTAAAAACTCATTTCACAAAATAATTATGTGTTAGTTACTAATTACTAACAAGCAATTAGTTTTTACTTGTTAAAACAAATTATCATAAGCTTATATGTGGCTCTAGAACAAAAGCAAAAGAACAGGATATTTCTGAGAATAAGTGCATTCGATTTTGTTGTTTATTAATGAAGAGGGCAGCAGATGCCCTATTTTATATTTACCTTTTAATTAACAACCTTTCCCATTTATAAAATAATGAATATTAATTTGTAGAACACATAGAACATAAAGAACAGAATTCAGAATGAGCACTAATCCCACCAAATAGACTTAAGTGGGGAGGAATGTCCATCTCTCATCTATTTTCCCCTCCATTTGACTCCCTGAGGCCTTGTACTGAGGATTTAGATTCGGTTCCAAGAGAGAAGACTATACAGTCTGTTGCTGCCTAGACCCGTAACAGTTTTCAGCAGGGCTAACAAGACAACAAAACACTGAGGAGAAGCTCTAAGGAGTGGTCACTTTTCTCTTTGAAATGTATCCCTTGCTACCTAGAGGTTGCTTAGGTGGGGAAAAGCTGCAAGAAGTCTCCCTTTTATTCTATAAGCAAACATCTGTTGAGCTTCTATTTCATGCATACAGTGTTAAGACCCTTGGTTGTTAAATCATTAGCATCTAGATAGAAGAAAAGACATACATATCAATACCAAATTGCGCAGATTTCTATAAATGCCAAAGTAAGGGAAAAGTAGGCCAGCACTTCTAGAGCTCTAGCAGGAGAAATCAATTGGCCAGGTGTAAGCATTTCTCTATTGATCATGGCAGAAGACTTTCTTTAAAGGGTCACTGGCCACATGCCCATTATGAATACCTCCTCTGAAGCTCTACACTATTATATTTCATTGTAACAACTTAAGGAGTCATCGGAATCATAATGGGACTAGAGCAGTGACTCCCTTTTACAACCTTCGTGCTCATTTTTTATTTCCTGTTCTTTTTCCACTATGGAATATATGTACATGCTTATTCATATTTCGTAGGAAAAGATAGGGTTTATCAGAGACCCTTTTGATTAACAGCAAAGAAAACATTAAAAATTACATTTTCCTGTTCAACTTTCAGCATGTGCGCTAGCTGTAAAGTCACCAACTAGGGATTATTTAATTTTTTAGAAGGCCTCCCTTGCTATCTGAAAGATTATTTGAACTTAGTGTGATAAATAAATATTTATGAATCTGTATCACAAATTGTTACATGAATCTGTACCACAATTGTTACCATTGTTACCATATGAGGGTTTGTTAGGATGACAGACTACATTAATTGCCAGACATGGGACTGGTTTTCCTATTTGCCATTTCAGCACCTATAAATCAATATATATTGCAGTTGTTTAGGATGAGGTTAGCAGAATACTGTAGCAAAAAATCAAATCAAATATTCTCTCACTGAAGACCTACTTAACTCCTCTGCCTCACTTACCCCAGAAAACAAAAGTGCTTTGAAAAAAATTAGTCAGTGCAGTTAAAGTTCAATCATTAGCATCATCATTGTTGTCTCCAGCTTCAATTTAAGAGACGATTTTTCATACCCTTAAAGGGGTATGATCTCTACCCTGTAAGTATTTGAACTGGGTTCAAAGAATTGGTTAAGATGCAAATAATAGCAAAAAAATCCTTCCTTGGCAATAGATATTTGCATAGGTTTTTGTTACAAGAAATGAATTTGGAGGTTGGGAAAGCAGAAAAATAGAGGATTAGAGAGAGATAAAAGGAAAAAAATCACACACAAGGGTGAGAAGAAGTGTATGGAAGGAAAAATTAATAAACCTCATTTAGCTTAACATAATTATTCCTTTTCTTAAGCTTTAAAATAGCTCATGACCTTTTTCCTGAGGCACTTAAGACTTAGCATCACATGAGTGATTCTCATGGTTTTGTAAGTTTCTGGGAGATTTTAATTCTCTAAGACACAACAAAATCCCAATAGATACTCATTTTTATACAACATTGGGAATGTGGCATGTGGACTAATTCATGGAAGAAAGAATTAAAGCCTCCAGCACCCTTTCTTGCAGTTGCGTGCACAATGGAATAGAAAAGCAGGGAAAAGTATATAAATAAAAATGTAAAACTACTACTCTGAAAAGATATTTAAGGAAGCTTAATCATATAAAAGTTCTGGATGTGTATGTGTGTGTATCACAATCAATATTATACCATGGAGTAAATAAAGCACATATCTGAGAGGTGGGATTGATTATAGGCACTATTATAAAATGTGCTTTAGTAGCAGTTAAAGCGCATGTATTCTATAATAAGACTGATCTGGGTTCAAGTCCAGTCCTCTGGAATCTCCTGTCTTCTGGAATCCTGGTTCACTCCTGCTAAGCTGCTGACCTGTACTGCACAACACTTGGGCGGGCACTCTTCACTGTATTCAATATGAGCAGCATTTGCTAGAGTAGTGCTGTGTGATAGTCAGGACATACCTACCACGTAGAACCTTTATGAAGATTATGTAAGAAAGGGACTGAAAAGTATTTGGCTTCATACTCAGTAACTACTCAATAAATGGTAGTATACTGTTTATTTTTGTGTTTTGCTTGAGAACTTTAAAAAAATCTCTATGATTATGCATTGCTTTTGTAACAAGAATAAAAACAACAAAGGCCTACAAAAATAATGGGGATGGAAGAGGTAACTTCTGAAATGTATAGAGGGTAGGAAGGCACTTACAATAAGAAAAGCTAGAATTTTTCTAAAATGATAGCCAACCATTCCTATATTGATTTTCCCATTATTTTATCAGAAAGTGCAGAGAGAGTAAGGCTGACCAGATCTGTAAACATTATCTGTGTGGAGTTTATTTTGAGTGCAGGATGTAGTACATTGCTTATCTAAAATCACACAATATGGACTAGATCTTTATAAAGGAAATATTAACTAGGTGACTATTTATTCCAGTCGTATCTACTCCATTATATTGAAATCATAATTAGCTATAGCCATAATTATTGTTTCACATTAAAAAATAATTCTAGCCATAACTATTCCTTTATATTTGAAAAGAAATGCCATTTTCTTAGATGGTAGATTAAGACAGGCACACATTCTTTGAGATAGCCTCCCACGGAGAGGTGATGGTTTCTTGGAAACGGGGCTGGCCTTAGTGATTTGCTTGACCAAGAAATTTTAGCAAAAACAGCTTTCTGAGATTTCTAATGCTATAATATAAAGAGCCCTACAGTTTCTGCCCCAGCCTACTAGAGTACTAGGATACTCACTCTGGGGAAGCTGGCTGCCATGTATGAAATCTGACTACCAAATCATGGCCATACTGTGATGAGGTCCATGATAACCACTTGGATGGACAGGTTATAGGCAGAAAAAGGGAGAGATGTCCAGGCGACCCAAGTACTTCAGTCATCCTACCTTGAGCATCAGATAAGAGCAAAGAAGCCATCTTAGGGGACATGTTAGCCCCCGAGATGTGACATGGAGAAGTACTGAGTCATCTAACCCACAGCAGAACGAAGCCCAGATATATGGTTCTAGTTGAATAATTCCAGCCACCTCTAGCCAATCAAGCCATCTTAGGTAAGGTCCTAGACATCTTGAAGAAATATACCACCTCCCATTGTATTCTGCTTAAATTCCTAACCCCCAAATCATGAATATAATGGCTACATGATTGACTACAGTGTTAAGCAGTGAACCAATAATAAAAGATCCAACAGATTATTTTTTTTTCAAGAGATCAAATCCTTGATATGTGCGCTTACCAAAGCAAATTCATGAGATATCCTTCCATCTGGAGGCAGTTTTGCACCAAAGCCTAGAGCTGGGAACATTTTATCACTGTCGTAATCTTGAACAATTTCTCCCACTGCTTTCAGTGCCATTCCATAGGCGTTCAGCTGGTAAGGATTCATGTAGTGGAGAGAAGTGGGCTGGGCAGGGTTGCCTGATGACAGAAAAAATATTTCAGACATGACTGATCAGGCTAAAGATGTCATTTTTTGGACATTTTTCTTGATGCCTATTTCGGAATGAAATACCTAAAATTATGTTTTCTGCCTACATCCATACTGTGTCAAATAATTTCTTTTTGGATGGAGATTAACATAAAAATATTTATTACATTATACGAGACATGTAGAAGGCTTTCCAAAGATATGCCAAAGCATATGCAGATTTTTTCAAAAATTATTCCTCATTGTCAGTGCCACAGGCTATTCCTGAATCTCAGTTACAGAAGAAGTATTAAAGTACTTTTGTTAAACTGATTTTAGAGTCATCATTGTTTCAAAAAAATCATATGCCTTTAGCTTGAACCCTTATGCTTATAATTAGAGGACTATGAAGACTTCCTGAAGTTCTATTACAAAAATAAATTGAGTATTTGCGAAATATCTCAATTTAATCACTTAAAAAGGAAAGCATAGTGATTTTCAAATTCAAGCTAATTAAATATCTATACCTGAAAAATGATTCAGGGTATGTAACTAGACATTAAAGGAGGAGCCCAGTCCAGTCTTGCCATTTCCAAGACAACACCTACAAAATGTCTGCAATAAATCCTACCACAGTGTTTACCAGAAGCACAAAATGAGATTATGTGTGTGAAGTGATTAAAAATAATAAAGCACCATAGAAATGTAAGGTTTAACTGCAACTGTTATTACTGTATGGGTCAGCCACAAGGTTCTGAAATTTCAATATACTTATACTATGCAGGATGTTGCATTTGAATAGAGATGAATATGAGAGAGAAAGTAATGCAAGTGCTAGCACTCAAACACATTGGGATTCACATTGAGTTGCCCTAATTACCAGCACAAAGGCTGCTTGAAAGTCCATTTACTTTCTTAAGTGAAAATGGAAAGTTAAATGGAACTTGTAATAGCATATAAAGCTCAATTCTACATTAAAAATTGCCTGAAGGAGGAAAGCCTCAGGGCACACAGTTCTTTTCTGTTAAGAAAAAAATAATAACAATAAGCACTTGAGATCCAGAGAGAAACAAAATTAAGGAGCGATCTCCCCTTGGTGTATAATACATATAATTATACACAGAACATTTCTGGCCTAAAAATAATGCATTGCATAAGCACATTTCTATTTTCAAAGGGTTACCAGCATTCAAGGGTTAGTTCCACAGAACAAAATTTCTGAAGAAGTATCTTCTGACCAAATGGCCTTAACATTCATTCCCCTCAATTTGACTGAACTTTGGAAAGGGTTTTTTCATAACTATAGGTTCCTGACCTTCCTTCCTTAGAGCCTTTGCTTTAGAAAACTTGTAACTGTAAATTCTTTCTCAGGCATCTTTGAGATGTAAATCTACAACTCAGAGGGTGCTCTTTCTTTGGGACCCAAGAGCCATTCTGTTGAAATGTACTCACGGACAAAGTGCCAAAGTGGGAGCCCAACTTAAATAAGTGCTAATAAGCGAACGGACCAATGTCCCCTCTAATGTCCCTTAGCACTTTTCCATTAGATCATGGCAGTATGTAAAATCCCTCCCACCTTTTGTTTTGGAGGCACTGGGTTCAATTTTCCCCTTATATGGCAACAGCCTTGACCTCTGGAAACAGTCCTGAATAAAGTCTTCTTTGCCTGTTTAAATTATCTGGTGCAATTTTGTAATGACACTTTCTTCTGAAGTTAGAATTTTTGCACTTGATCAAAAGGCCCACTGGAGCCATGGGGGAGCAACATCATTACTAGACTAAGTCATTGTTTAACATAACTCTCAAATATAAGAATTTTACCCAATGACTGCAATATGGCAACTAAGTCTATTTTATAATGAAAAATGTAATTTAAAATTAAGATACAAATATCACTCATACCACAGCATGTCTAAACATTTTTGCGTATCATGCATAGCAGGGCTGGATCCCACTCATGCAAAGACGTTGCCTGTCTCTTTCTAGCATCTTCATCAGACCATCTCTGCACTGTATCACTCATGGTATCTTTCTTCCTATCTCTACCTCTCAAGTTGCCACCCAGTTCCGGAAGTGACTTTACTCCCCTCCAGCTTATGTTTTACTTGCTCCAGAAAGCCTTCCTTGCTTACTCCAACCCTTATTGTCTTTCCTCTCTTACTTTTAGGACTCTTATGCTCTGCACCACAAAATATGGCAATTAGAAATCTGCCGCATTGACTGTCCATTCCTTGAGTCTGGGACCATGTTTGTGCCACCTCTGTATCTGCAACAGTGCATATGAAGAATGAACTTGTAGTAAGTTGATAACATTGGGACCCAACTAATATCCATGATAATTACAATAACATGGGATCTAACATGTATTAAACACTTCACATCTTTCTTAAGCTTTCAACAAACCTATGATATAGCTACTTTCTTATTATACCCAATTTTCAGATTAAATAATTTACCCCTAATCACACTGTGAAAGTTGATAAAACCAGAATGTAAATCTAGGCGATCTGATTCCATAGCCCTTATTCTTAACTAGAACCCTATACTTAAGGATTTTGTTATATTTTAAACACTGGATATCATCAAACTTATCTCTGCTTTTGTTTTAGAGGTACATCATGCCTTTATTTAAAAAAACACTCGACTACACTCTTTTTAAAAAGTTTATTTAGATATAATGAGACATAACTTAGAATTTAACCATTTAAAATATACAATTCAGTGATTTTTAATATATTCACAGATAGGTACAACCATCACTCCAATTTTAGAACATTTTTATCACCTCAAAAAGAAACTGTGTACCTATTCACTATCCCTCCCTTATCACTCCATCCAGCCCAACCCCAAAAGATGACTAATCTTTCCATCTCTATTAATTTGCTTATTCGGGACATTACATATAACTAGATTCACACAAGATGTATTTTGTGACTAGCTTCTTTCACTTAGCATAATGATTTCAAGGATCATTTATGTCATAGCATGTATTGGTACTTCATATTTCATTCGTGTTTATTGCTGAACAGTATTCTCCTGTATGAATGTACTACATTTTAAAATCCATTTATTAGTTGAGGAATATTTGGATTGTTTCCACAATTATGGCTATTATGTTGCTATCATCTTTTGTGTACAAGTTGTCATATAGACATACGTTTTAATCTTTCTTGTGTATACATCTAGGGGTGGACTTGCTGGGTCATATGGTTACTCTATGTGTAGCAACTTGAGGAACCTCTAATGTGTTCTCTCAGGTGGCTGTATCACTTTACATTCTCACACACAGTGCATGAGGCTTCCAATTTCTCCGTATCCTCACCAACACCTGTTATCTTTGGATGATAGTCATTCTCCTGGGTGTGACATAGTATCTCATTATGGTCTTGATTTGCATTTCCTGATGCCTAAGTTTACTAAGTATCTTTTCATGTGCTTACTGATCAATCATTTATACATCTTCTGTGGGGCTATATCTATTCAGATCCTTTGCCCATTTTTAAATTGGATTGTCTTTTTATTGAATTACGAGTTCTTTATACATTCTAGGATACAAGTCCCCCGTGAGATATATGATTTGCTACTATTTTTCCTCACATTCTGGGGTTTGTCTTTTCACTTAGTTAATAGTGTTCTATGAAGCATAAAAAGATCTTGATTTTGACAGAGTTCAATTTATTTATTTATTTTCTTTTGTTGCTTATGTCTTTGTATCATACTTAAGAATCAAGTGTCAAATCCAAGGTCATGAAGGTATATCCCTATGTTTTCATCTAACAGTTTATAACATTAACCCTTATATTTAGGTCTTTGATCTACTTTGTGTTAATTTTGTTGTTGATATGAGAAAAATGTCCAACTTCAGTCATTTGTACATAGCTATCTTATTGTCCTAGCTTTGTTACGTTGAAAAGATTATTCTTACTCCATTGAATTGTCTTGGTAGTCTTCTAAAATCAGTTAACCTTAGACTCATGGGTTTATTTCTGGAATCTCCATTCTATTTCATGGAACTATATAACTATCTTTACACCAGCACCATGCTTTCTTTGCTTATGTTGTTTTATGTAGTACCTTTCAAAAATGGGAAGTATGAATATTCCCACTTTGTTCTTTCTTTTCAAGTCTGCTTTGGCTCTGAGTCCACATGAATTTCTGGGGCATCCATTTATGCAAAACAGGTCTTTCAGGTTGTTTGTTTGTTTACCTCAGGCCGTTTTATTTTATCTTATTTTTTTTATTAATATATAATGTATTATTTGTTTTAGGGGTACAGATCTGTGAATCATCAATCTTACACAATTCACAGCACTCACCATAGCACATACCCTCCCCAATGTCCATCACCCAGCCACCCCATCCCTCCCACCTCCTCCACACCAGCAACCCCTTTCAGGTTTTGAATGAGATTGCATTGAATCTGCTGACTGCTTTGAGCAATGTTGCCCTCTTAACAGTTGGAATTTTCCAATCCATGAAAACGGCATATTTTTCCACTTACTTAGATCTTTAATTTCTTTCAATCTTTTTCAGAATACAATTTTTAGAGTATAAAGTTTACACTACTTTGTTAAATTTATTCCTAAGTATTATATTCTTTTTGATACTACGGTGAACGGAATTTTCTTTTTCAGTCTCAGATTGTTAACTAGAAGTGTATAGAAAAAGACCCGACTTTTATATATTGATATTTTATCCTTCAATCTTGCTAAGTGCATTTGTTAGTTTTAATACATTTTTAGGGAATTCTTTGGGATTTTTTATATATAAGACTATGTCATCTGTAAACAGAAATAATTTAACTTCCTTCTTTCCAATCTGGATATTTTTCATTTCTTTTTCTTTACTAATTGCTAGGGCTACAACTTCCAGTACAATGTTGAATAGAAGTGGAAAAGGAGACATTCTTGCCCTATTTATCATTTTAGGCTGAATGCATTAAGCTATGTTAGGTATGGGTTTTTCATATTTTCCCTTCATAAGGTTAAAAAGTAAACTTCTATTCCTAGTTTGTTAAATGTTTTTATCCTGAAAATGTGCTGGACTTTCCCAAATGCTTTCTTCCACACCAATTGACAGGACCATGTGATTTTTACATTTTCTTCTATTGACATGGTAAGTCCTTGCATTCTTGAGATAAATTTTACTTCCTCGGGGTGTGCAATTTTCTTTGTATGTTGCTGGATTCAGCTTGGTAGTGTTTTGTTGAGGACTGTTATATTCATATCCATAAAAGAATCTGATCTTCAGTTATTCTTTTCTTTGTTACAGTTTTGGTATCAAGGTAATACTAACCCCTTAGACTGAGTTGGGAAGTGTTCTCTCCTCTACTATTTCTTGGAAGAATGTGAAGAATTTATATCAATTCTCTTTAAATATTTGGAAGAATTCACTAGTGGAGCTTATCTGGACCTGGACCCAAGTAAGTTTTGTGGATAGTTTTTTTATTATGAATTCAATCTCTTATTATAGGTCTATTCAGATTGTTTGTGTCTTCTAAGTCAGTTTCAGAAGTCTGTGTCTTATTATTCAATAGATTCCTGCTCTTCTAGTCGTTGTGCTAATATTCATCAGTGAACAAAAGCTAGTATTTTAAACCATTAGACCTTAGGTTTTATTTCTGTTTCATTATTTTACTGAATAAAATACACGAATAAAAATAATTAACTTGAAATCAGAGTGTTGGAGAATATACTTAACATGTAACCAAAGATAAGTTAAATTACATTTTAATTTCATCTCTGTTCTTAACTCTAGTATTAACAAGCCAAAATGTAGTTAGTAAAATGATTTTCTGGATTCGAGTTTCCTCATTTGCATAACAGGACGGTTAGAGTAAGTGATCTTTAAGTTTCTTCCTTAGCTAAAAATGCTATTATTTTGTGAAATGTGACTCAAAGTGCAAGAAATGTGAGGTGAAGAGAAAATAATGTAAGAGTCATAAGCACAATAAGTAATTTGGGGGAAAAAAAAACTAGATAAATATAACTGATGGCAAGTTCTGATAAAAATTAAATAATAAGATTCATGTTCTTATGATATATAGTAATTCAAATTTGTTTCATACAAAATTACTTCAAAATAAAATTTTAAAAGTTCACTATCTTTTCTTTCTTTAAATGTTTGATAAACAAATTATGACTATCTATACAAAGGGTATTATATGATAATCCCCAGAATTAAATATAAATGTGTTAAAATGAGTAATTCTTAAAAATAGTCTAGTAAAAATGAAGTGAGCTGCATGAAGTATATGTATTTGAATTACACTTTTGTATATTAATACACACAAAAGTACTATAAAATGAAGATAATGCAACACACTTCAGCATTACAGTTATGTATGAAGATGAAGGGAGGGTCAAAGAAGTGGGGCCAAAGTACACAATGGGCTTAACTAGATCTCAATTGTCTTTTAAAAATTTCTGAAACAAAAATTATAACAACTCAATATTTATTAAATTTGAATGGGACTATTAGCCATTTTTTCCCCATTTAGTCTAGTTATTTGTATATCTATTTCATAATAGTGAAAAGAAAGGAAAAATGACCTAAATTTTATATGACACACTTCAGAAGTATGTAAATATAGGAATAAAATATCTAACCTCATGAAAATAAATATTTATATTTCAATTAATTACTGGTATCTTGTACTAGTGATAGTCATAATACTCACCATTTGATGCTGTAAAATCAATAGCCACTGTGAAATTGATTTGCGTTCTAGAATATAAGTAAATAAGAATCAATAATTAATCTCATAGAAAAGAGTTTGATTTCCATTTGTGTTACCAAATTTGTTAACATCATTAAATTTCCTAAATGTTATTATTAACAGGGATATTCAGTACACACTGGATAGCATCAGGATAGGCAGTTTTAGAAGGTAAAAACTGGGCAGGATATCTTCACAATCATAGAACTGTAAAATAAGAAAGTGTCAGGAATAAAAAGAGCTCCTATTTGGGAACACAATAACTAAGTGAGGGACTCATAATAAAGAAGTCAAACAGCAAATAATGATTTGCCAGACTCCAATGTCAGCATTTACTATCAATTTGCTTTTAAAACCATTCCGCAGTCATTGTTGAATCATTATACCCTTAGAAGTGAGGCACAGCTAAAATCATCTCTAATAATTTCACTTCTTAAACTAATTCTTTTCACAACACTGAACATACAGGATTTTCTTCTGCTTTCTTCAGAAATGAGGTATTTCAGATGCTGATCTATCCCTAGTACTCACAGCATTCCTATGTGTGTGACTTTATAGACATAGATAATTATTTATATAGATGATGTTGACTATATGTAATATAAATTTTCCGCACATGGTAGGTACCCAAAATTATTTTACTGGATTAGTTCTTTCACCTTCTTTTTTATTTTCTGATAGAAACTGAAGAGGTGCCATTTGCACAAAAAAAGTAAACTCGTTTAGATACATCTCCAACTACTCTATGTAATTCCACCTCTTTATTACCAAAGAAGGCAAAAACAAAAAACAAAAAAACAAACAAAATACAAAAATAAGCAACAATGATATGAGTACTGGGATAACCTGCAATCACATCTAATTCAAAAAATAATTTAAAAAGTAAATCATTTGAAAACATGAGTACTAGAGATCACCTTATCTATAGAAATAAATTACTTTTGGCACATTGCACAACTTAACACTTCATAGTTTGGAACTGCTGTTTACATGGTGTTGATGATGATGAAACAATGATGGGTACCACAGCAATTACCCTTGTAATTCTCTGAGTATAATTTATAGTATATTTCCTTCTTTCTCTAGAAATTCAGTTTTAAAATCCCTAAATACTACTCAGATATTGAAACAAATTCTCACACCTTTTTTTCCCCTAAGGAATGTACAACCTTTTGTGCTTTACGTTTAATAAAAACTAATATAGATTCTCTTTAGAGCTATAAGGTAATTTTTTCCTCACAGTAGAAATTAGGTTTATAGGCTAAGAATAGAGGCTAATTTGGAGCATACCACTACCCAGTATGAACCAAAAGGAGTTAAAATCTCTTAGAAAAAGAATATAATGAGACATTTGGGAGAACATTTTGAGAAAATCAATCCCTTTGAGGAACTGAAAAGAACAGTCACCATCAGCACATTGCTTCGTCATCCTACTGCTAGGAAAGAAGCAACTGTAATAGAGGGTGGTAAGGTATATCAGAAAGGATACAGCTTTTGAGTGTGAAAAAACAGGGGTGGAATTACAGCAACTCAGTTGCTGACAGTAGCCAAGTTTCCAAAATTCTCAGAGGTCAGGTGCCTGGCACACAACAATAACAAGAACTACAGAAAAACTAAATGAAATATTATACTATATATATTTATATATGTGTATATATGTAACACATTATATAGATTAAATATTATAAGCATATAAAGTGTGCTTTTACATAGCTTTTATCAACTACCTTCATAATAATTTTTTTTTAAGATTTTATTTATTTATTTGGCAGACAGAGATCAGAAGTAGGCAGAGGCAGGCAGAGAGAGAGGAGGAAGCAGGCTCCCTGATGAGCAGAGAGCCCGATGCAGAGCATGATCCCAGGACCCCGGGATCATGACCCGAGCCGAAGGCAGAGGCTTTAACCCACTGAGCCACCCAGGCACCCTACCTTCATAATAATTTTTTTTTTTTTAAGATTTTATTTATTTATTTGACAGAGAGAGATCACAAGTAGACGGAGAGGCAGGCAGAGAGAGAGAGAGAGAGAGGGAAGCAGGCTCCCTGCTGAGCAGAGAGCCCGATGCGGGACTCGATCCCAGGACCCTGAGATCATGACCTGAGCCGAAGGCAGCGGCTTAACCCACTGAGCCACCCAGGCGCCCCTTCATAATAATTTTTAAAGATACTATTATTCTCCTTTTATAGACACTGAAATCTATGCTCACAAAACTTAATTAAGTTTTGACATGAGTAATAAATGCCAGTATTGAAATTTGAATTCACATCTAACCTCCAAGGCCACATTCATAAACTCCATACTACTCTAGTTCTACAATTAAATATTTGTAAGCTGCTGGACTACAATAACATAATAAAAGATAGTAATTATTATGTCACAAACATAAAAATGATACTATACGAATATCCTTAATGATAAGAATGCCAGGGCACATTCTTGTGCTTGGGCAAATTAGGCCTTGTATCAAATATGTTGTTAAATATGTAAGTCACAAAATTTTCAGTGCAAATGCCTTTTTTGTATTAAATTTTTCCAAATGACACCTCTTTAAAAATGAAAACTCTGGGCTTCAAAAAAACCTATGTTTTAGCACATTATAAGGTCAATTTAGGAGCTGATTCTTCGGTTCAATCTCCCTTAGGTTGTAGGGATAGATACCTTGTCTTGATTCAACTGCCTCTTGCAACCAGGTCTGCACAATCCTTTGCCAGTACTGGAACTTCACTGTTACTTACTGGGTGAATCAATGCATTCATTTTATGATTGCTTCTAATATGTTCTCCAAGATAGCCCAAGATGTGTAACATAACCAACTTCTTAGAAGCATTAGTTGCAGATACAAAATTTCAATAATCAGAGATACAACGCTCCTTTCAAAGCCAAAGTTCTGCCTAGCAAAATTATAAGGGAAAGGTATGGCTACCAACTAAAGAACTGTTCTGTACATAAGAATAAAAAAAAGCGTAGATACTTATTATTAAACTACCTCACTGAAATCTCTAGCTAACAAAATGTCTAGCTAGCTAAATCCTAATGTACAAAACCAAGCAGATTAGGTACCAAAAAATAATGAAATATTAAAAAGAAGAGAAATTTTTAAAACAGGAAAAAAAGAAGGAAGGAAGAAAAAAGGAAGGAAAAATGAAAGAGAGGGGTTCTTATCATATCATTTGTGTTTTTCCATTTAAAACAATTACATTCAACATGTATTGAGCATCTTTTTTTAAAATCTTTATTTTGTCTTAAAGATTTTATTTATTTATTTGAGAGAGAGAGGGAGTGAGAGAGAGCATGAGAGGGGAGAAGGTCAGAGGTAAAAGCAGACTCCTGGCGGAGCTGGGAGCCCAATGCTGGACTCAATTCCACGACTCCGGGATCATGACCTGAGGTGAAGGCAGTAGCTTAACCAACTGAGCCACACAGGTGCCGCTATTGAGCATTTTCTGATTGCCTAGCACTGCGGTAAGAAGATAGGAGCAAACCAAAAATTATTCCTGAACCTCTAGAACTTACAATTCCAGCTTTCTACTATTAAAAGCAATGACAAAAATAGCACAGAGGTTTATCATTGAATTCATAATCAATAGTGTAACCTAAAACTCAACTGTGCATTTACTGTGGTTAACAGCGTACTCATTCCCATGATTCCCAAGTTTCCATTCATATTATAATGTACACTTGCTATATCAAGTGTCATGTTCTATGTTATTCTGAAAATATTAACAAATAAGTCTTTTTGTTGTTGCTGTTCTGTTTTTGTTTTTTTTTTGCGAGCGCGCGCGAGGGAGACAGAGAGACAGTGCACACACAAGCAGGGGCAGGAATGGAGTGGGGCAGAGAGAGAATCTGAAGCAGGCTCCACACCCAGTGCAGAACCCTACATGGTGCTTGATCTCCCAACCCTGAGATCATGACCTGAGCTGAAATCAAGAGTCACTGCTTAACTGACTGAGCCACCCAGAGGCCCCACTAACAAAAGTTTTAAAGTTGCTAGCAATACTATAACTTCAGGCTATAAGACAGAGTTCTTGTAGATGTGGATAAATGATGTGTGTCATAAAAGTAAACCAAACAAAACATCTTCAACGGTAATCCTGTTACCCTTTTCATTCTTTAATATTGCACAAAGCCTAATGTTAGAGGAAAAAAAATCAATCATGCGCCAAAGTAAAAAATCTGAATTCACACAAGATGACTGCTGGCAGAATATTCATACAATGATCACATATAAATCCTTGAAACATTCTGCTTAGGAAGTGTTACTTTATTTGTCATTTTGCATTTTAGAAAGCAGACGAGGAGGAGCAGAATTTCAAAAAAATCTAGATAGGAGTATTATATTCTAGTGTATAAAAAAGGCACGCCTGCCAAATTTCACGAGTTAGTAGTAACATCTCATGAGACTTCCCGATGCATATGTCCTAACATTGCTAAAATTATACTTGGAAAATGTTTTATTTTACTCTGCCACCTTTCCAAAAGCTATAAATGACAAATCAGATGTCAAGATGGAGGATTTAACTAGCAGAGAAGATCCGTAGAAAACAAGTTTGTATGTCAAAGAATACTATACACGTGCTGCCTAGCCACACGTGCGTGCATGTGTGCACACACACACACACACACACACACACAGAGTAATCCCATCTTAGACAACTTTCCTCTGGCTGTCACCACGAATTAATTATTGAGAACTAACAACTGTGATGGGGGTATGCAGGACTGTTTGACTTTCTTCCCAATTTCAAATTCTGTTCAGCTGCACAAACTGAACATTATCAGTACAACACACGAACTGTCACCATCCTTCTTTAAATTAATCTCAACAAACAGGTTCAGATCCACTAGCTGTTGGAATTTTGAGCCTTTAGGTGAAATTGTGATGCCCGCTTAGCTCCAAGATTCCTCTTATTCTTGCCACACTGGCACCAAGACTACACTTCTTACTGGATATACTGACATGCACTCTTGTTCTCACTTTGGTTCTGGAATTTATCCTGAATCCC